CCGAACCCCGAAGGCAGGGGGGGGGGGTTGGTGGCGGGCTCTGTTTATTATGCTTCAGTGGTATAGTAGTTGTCGTCTTTCAGACAGGGGTAGGAGTACACGCCTTCTCTTATTACCCCCCCACCTGTCGCGAACACAGCAGTAGCCTCACTCCGCCATTGTTTGAACCTCGCGCACTCCTCGTCCAATCCCCATCTGACCTCCCCCTTCCCTTACCCCCCACGCCTATCTCGAAAGCCTGGCCAAGGCGATGGCGAAGGTGTTCAAGGCCTCCCTGATCGCGACGGCCTTCCTAGCGATGGCGCAACAGATGGTGCTGCTGGCGGTGCCTCTCATCGTGCAGCAGCTTCTGCAGTGGCTCATCGACGAGGACAGTAGCGATACGTACATCGGGGTCGTCTGGGCGATCACCCTGTGAGTTGGTGTCTCGACTTTTGTTTGTAGCAGATTGTTTCCATGCATTAAGTTTTTGTTTTTAGAAGTAATCTCGTTGAAAGCCAACCCATGCGAGATATGACCACAGCAGTCGAAAGAGGTGTGCTGAAGTTTTTTCAGTGAGTGAAAGGAAACCGGCTGGAAACTCGGCTTATATTGAGCTTGCCAACGGGTTTCCCGGCTTGCTTTGCACGGTGCAAGTGTTGCAGCCGGTTTTTCTGTTTTTTAGTTTTTTTTTTTTCCATGAGGAGAAGGACTGGCGGTTGAACAGATTCGTTTTTGTATGCGCACTCGCGGTTTATGGGTACCACTTTATTGCGTTTGCGTCCAATATCATCCACTCTTGTTAAGCTGTTTTTTTTCATTTTTTCTCTCTTGTTGTCGTGGGCGATCCAAGGATGACCATAGCGGGTTTTCGATCGTGTTCGGCTTTATGCTGTCTCGCCCAAACCGTTCCTCCCGCCACACCACCCGCATTATCGCCTCCACTCGTGCCCTGGGTGCTGGTGGGCTCTCTCCCCTGCCTCCGCTCTAGATTTGTGTGTACGGCGGACGTCGTTTCCATGTAGACATTCTTGTGTCCAGTAGTACTGCGCAGGGGTTTCAAAGTACGCAAACATACTGGATAGAGTACAGAATCGGCTAAGGTGGGGTTGGGGTTGGGGTTAGGGTCTGCGTGCCCCCTCGCTGGTCTTGTTCATAATAACGTTACATTCTTTTGCACAGGCAGTCCTCACTACAAGTATGCTGCGCTGAGACATGAAACACAGCGGACTTCTCTCGCGTGTCGGCCTTGGTGTCTCACGAAGATGCTCCACCCTACGCACTGCCTCGAGTGCAAAATACAAATATCCTCGGCTGACATGAAATCCGCCTCCGCCGCTGCCGCCGGTTTCCGTGACCGGTCTCGCTGGTGGGTACGGTGTTGCTGCTGCCTCCGCTGGTTGGGTGTTTGGGGGGGGGGGGGCGCGCTTCACAAAAATTTACAACCAGGTTTCTCGTGGGCTTCTGCGGAAACGGCCTCCTGACGAACCACTATTTTTTGTACCTGTACGTTATGGGCATGGACGCGAGGACCATGCTCAACGCGGCCACTTACTCCAAGTCGCTGGGGCTCTCCAACAAGGCTCGGCAGGTACGGGGGGGGGGGGAGGGGGGCGTTTGGCGACCCCTGGTGTCACGATGAAGTGTGGGCCGCTATTCAGGGCAGGTCGCTAAATCCGAACTAGCAACACATGGCAATTGTGCTGCCGGGGTGCGGCGGTGCCACGTGGATTTTGTGGTCGCTAAACAAGGCATATCGCTAAACCGAACCCCCCACTCTTGATAGAATTCTAGTTCTCGCGGTGGTCGGGCAGCAAAGCAGCACCGCGGGGCAGCACCTGAAGTGTAGCGAATTGATTTGTCCGGCCCGGATTCCTTGGTTGCGCTTTGAACGCACGTCGTCGTCGTCGTGAACCAAAGAAAATGACCAACAGTAATGTGTTCAACACACATTAGGGCTACGCCAGCGTGTCTTCATGTTCCCGTTGAACCCGGACTGCTTGGCTCCCCAATTGTGAGTCTCTGGACAGGGGTTCTGCTGGTACTGGGTGGCGTTGGTGTTTGTTTTTTTATGTATTCCCGTTGTGACCTTTGCTGACGGCATTAGTTGCGGTACCCTTTGGTCTGTCTTGGCCTCTTCGTGGCCACTCTTTTCGTGCCAGCGCCGGTACCGATTTTGGTGGTTTAACGTGTCGCAGATGGTTTGCCGACTCTCGCCTCTGTGCATGTACCTGACTGACCCTGGTGAATCCTAGAGCTGGAAACCAGTCGGCGAGACTGCTGTTGCCTTCTGGCTGCGTTCCCACGCACATGCATTTTTCCCCTTTGAGATGTTTTGTGTGTGTGTGTGTGTGTTTTGTGTTGCTTAGTTTGCATCGACCGCGCGAATCCTCTGTCGGACCGATGACAACAAGCGGGATTTTGAAAGAATCGCGAACACACCTGCTGTGCGTGGTTGTTTTTTGTTTTCTTAATTGCCATCGGCTGCCCAATGTAAAACAATGAAAATTGCGTCAGTCTTGTAGCGGGGTGAAAAACACGAATATATGTGTGCGTGTGCGTGCTTTTTTTATTTGCATCGACCGCGGTAACCGGTGTGCGTGGTGTTCCGTGGACATTTGTATCCCTCCCCCCCCTGCTGCAGAGCACGAGCACGGGCGAGTTGGTGACCCTCATGTCCAACGACGCGCAGCGGCTCCCGGACATGGCCCTCAGCGTGCACGCCATCTGGAGCACCCCGCTCTTCATCGTGGTGGCTGTGTTCCTCCTCGTCAACCTCGTCGGGGCGGCGGCGGTGGCCGGGATCATGCTCCTGGTGCTCATGATCCCGATACAGGGGGTGCTCGCGGCCAAGCAGATGGGGCTTCAGCGCGCCCAGATGAAGCAGACGCAGTCGCGGGTCAAGGTCATCAACGAAGTCTTGCAGGTGGGTGGTGGCGTTAGGTATATCCTCAGCACTAGACACAGAAGGATCTGCGGAGACGTAAGGGGGTTTCGTGTATCATGGTTGTATGTATCGTCGGCCACGGCGCTATAACCGTCTGGCCCACCCGGGTTGCAGATCACAGAAAGGGTTGAAAAAAACTACTACTTTCGAAGTATGACAAAGGGGCTCCGCGAAGTCGTCGGTACCACGCGTGAGCCCCCATGTGTTGCCCTGTGATACCACCCGGTGCACACCTTTGTCACAGTCGGTGCTCTAGGTGTCATGAAACCTGCAGGATACCTCAAGCGTGTTGTGTTCTACACGCGCAGACATGAGATTCGCCCTGGCTTGGCTCTGAATCTTGAAAATGCCGTGCAATCAAAAGTGAAGGAGCGGTTGATTCAAGCCCGTTTCGCAGCTCTCAGCACCAAACTTCACGCTGCTACATGCATGTGAAGGAGTTGACGAACTCGCTCGAGACATTCGCCAGAGTGGATTACATAGGCATAGGTAGCATTGAAAGGACGGCGAAATTTTGGATCGCCACTACGAGGGCAGTTCCAGTAAAGCACTCCATCGCCTGTATCGGCCAAACACGCCCCATACGTCTACCTCCTGTTTTGTTTGGAATTATCCGGCAAGATCCCCCGAAATTTGACCCTCAACACTCTATGCGCACTCACTCACAAAACGATCCCGTTCAATATTTTGATGTCGTTCCGGCCGCCCGGAGCACACGGGCGTGACGGTGTTTTTAGGGAAGATACATAAAACCATGGTGTCTTGTTGTAGTTTTTTGAGCGGCTGGAGTGTGTTGGTACGCCCAGTCACCCGCCAGGTGCGCCATTTATCTCGTCACGCTTTGGTGCTAAATAGGTGTTGCCGTCTTCTCTCTGTCGCCCGTCTCCCCAGCTATGCCACCCCTTGTCACGCATGATCTGCATCACTGGCTTGCTCCTCTTTTAGTGACACATGGCGATGATCGTGTATCGAGCACCCACAAAGACTGCTAATTGTACTTGTGTGTCAAGCCGCTGTCCTTGTTTTTTTTTTTTTGCGACGGGAACGACGAAGCCATTCCGATGTCAACCGCAGCAGCGTTCAACGCTCTCCACGTTGAAAAGGCACGCAACCACCGTACACCCGCCCCCACTTTTCCCCCCCTCGCGATACCAGGGAATCCGCATCGTCAAGTACTACGCGTGGGAAGTTCCTTTTGTGGAGAGGATCGCCGCCCTGCGCGACATGGAAGTCGACAAGGTGAAGAGCCCCCCGCTCCCGTCTCGTAGTCGCTTGGCAGCTAAATTACATATCGGTTAAATTGCAAGAACGGGCTGCTGTTTTGTTGTCGGGTAGATTATTTTTCAAGACGCACTGGTTTATGAGAGTCGGCCAGCTCTGCACTCAGCTTCTTCGAAAGCCCGCCAGTGACTGCTGCTATTGGCCGGAAGCAACAAATGGCCGTTGTGGATGGGGTAGGTAGCGGTTGGGTAGTTGCCATTTACAATGCTGTATGTCTATCACCCGGGAGGATTCAGCAACAGATGAAACACGAGTGAAAAACGGTTTCTTTTGGTGAAGCATTTCTTTATTTGCAACGAGAATTTAAAAAAACTCTTTAAGACGTGGCCCTATCTGTCCTGAAAATCACTTGAGCGTATAGAGTGCATATGCGTAGGAGTATCGTCGCCTCATATCGCCCCCCCCCCCTCCCCGAGTGGCAGCCTCCTCTAAACCACTTCCCCTTCGTTACACGCATGCCTTCGCTACGCGTGCACGCGCCCACCTACCTCGCTCGCCCCACAGATCAAGAGCTTCGCTTTCGTGAACGCGTACTCGATGTCGATCATGCTCACCACCCCGTTCGTGATGGTGATGCTCACCCTCGTGGTGTTCTTCAACGTTGACGGCGACTTCAGCCCGGACGTGGTCTTCACCGCCGTGTCCCTCCTCCTCGTCATCCGGTTCCCGCTCATGATGCTCCCCATGGCCGTCGCCAGCTGGGTGCAGGGAAAGGTGCGTGCATGTACTGCATCAGAATTGCGCAGCGGTAATGGTTGTGGTGGGAAAAGGTAGACTGTTGCGGGGGTGGTAGGGCGCCGGCCACCTTGTATTTTTTTTTTTCGACAGCTGGCTGCTGCGAGTTGGGCACACGCTCAGAGAGGGGGCTCGGTTGCTGTGATGGTGGTGTTTCTGCTGCTGGTTCGACCCCGTGGGTAGATAAGAGGGCGGAACGTGAGGGAGGTGTCGAGGAGTTTTGTTGTGCTGCTGCTGCTGCTGCTGCTGCTGCTGCTGCTGCTGCTGCTGCAAGTTGTCGAGCATATTGCTTGAATCAAGCTCTCGCCCCCCGCCCTCCCTCGCCTCAATATCCACCGTACAACTTGATTGTCTTGGCTCCCCGCATTGCCACGGCAGTGAAGCCATACACACAACACGCAGACCCCATGGTTTAGCACCACAAGGGTTCTTGCTCCCCCCCCTACCCTGCGCACGTACTTTCTTCCCGAATAAGTCAACACGACACAACTTCAGCACCTCACCTGCACTAAGCCAGCCCGTGCCAGAACCCAGCCCCGAGTGCCCCGCGCCTGACTCGAAAGAACGCACGATGCCTTTCGCGCAGGTCTCCGTCGGCCGCATGCAGGCGTTCTTCGAGCTGGAGGAGCTGCACCCCAGCGACCGGGAGTGGACGAACCGCGAAGGGCCGGGGAGCGGCGCCGTTTCCATCGCCGGCAAGTTTGTCTGGACCCCGTCGGACGAGGACGACGACGATGCCACCGGCGGCGGCGGTGGTGGTGGTGGTGGTGGCGGTGCGCAGGGCGGAGAGACGAAGGAGGAGGGCGAGCTCGCCGCGGCTGCCTCTAGCGGGAAGAAGGGCGCCAAGGGGGCTGCCGTGGCTGACGAAGGTACGCAGGAGCGTTGGCGAGGCGGGGCTCCGTGTGAGGGGGGGGGGGGGGGCCCCAAGGGGGGGGAGGGGGGGGGCGGAAGGGGGGTTCTCCTTTTCCTCCGTTTTCACCACGCCTTCCTTTCCAGTTTTTTCCTTGTTTTTTTCCGAAAGAAAAAATGATGGGTGGTATAACCGCGGCCAGACGCGCATGACGCGGTTATTTAGCACGGGCGGACATCCTCCCGTGCCTTTTGTGTTTGTTGGAACAGGGGGCGAGGGGCCATCTGCCCACCTGAAAAAGGAA